AGTCCATGATGGACTATATGTATTGATTTATTGATTATTTTATTTTATTTAAGTCACCTTTGTCCTGAAAAGGATATCGCAAAGTATATGCAGTCTCATTACTCGGTAATTGATCACCTAAATCTTCAAGCTTTTCTAGTTGCTTCCTGATGTTCTCCACAGGATTCTCCATAATTTCATCGTTATTATTATTGGTACTATTACTATGATTCTCACCATGTGAGGTTCTCGAGATAGTGAGAGCTTTTTTAGCGAAATTTTTCTTCTTCTTGAGTACATCTGAGTTCATAGTTTCACTGGCGGTTGTAGGATCATCGGACTCACATTTTCCTGTATTTATCAAGTCACCAATACGCCGGAATCCTGTTAGTGGTCTTTGTTCTTCAGATTCATCATCAATATTTTGATTTTTACCATCGATTGATCTCGAATTTAAAGTTAGGTTCCTCGAGGGCGTTCTAATAATATGAATCAAGGCCTGTAGCCAGATATTATGACAAATGATATGGGGATGAATAATGTTTCTTTGCCATTCGATGACAAAATTCAAGTTTTAGAATCGTAAAGGTTCTTTCTTACTGAATAGACCGATGAAGATGAGAATTGAATGAAAAAGGAATCAATACTTACTTTTGACCCATTGATTCATTCTTCTCTGTTCGCGTTTTCGTCGATGCAGATCTTTCGGTTTCTGATGCTGTTGTATTGCTTTCCCTTCTCTTGCTTCGTCTTTCTACTGCTACACGAACTTCGTGTTTCAATTTCAAGTATTTTTCCTTCAATGTTTTGTATTTATCCTCTAATAAACGTTTTTCACATCGTACTTTTTCAAAATCAATGATTTGTTGTCGGTTTGCTTGGTCGGATATTTTCTTTGTTTCTTTATCGATTCCTCGTGACAAATCCGATCGAATCTCGTCTAATCGCTGTTTATATAATTTTCTTGATAATCGTTCCTGAAATAGTATTAGAAAAAAGAATTGAGTAGTGAGAAAATAGTAGGAGTTCGTGGAAATACTTACATCTACCCTAAAATCTCTTAGAATGTCTGCTAGACATTTTTCATGATCTTCTGTGAGTTTCGCGATCTTTTCACGCTGCTGCGATCTCAGAGTATTTTTCAAATCGCTGAATTCCTGCTCAAGCTCTTTCTTCAATGCTTCAATTCTTCCATTATATTGTTGAGTTAATTCTTGCTCTACCGTCTTAACAGACTTATCACCATCTAAAGTATCTTCATATTCATTTTCAAGTACTTGTAATTCACGGTTTCTCAATTCTAATAACTCCTTCTTCCGCTCATCCAATTCAGCTTTAATATTCTCAAGAATATCTTGTCGTTCCTTCTCGTAACACATTTCTAATTCACTCCTGATCTTCTTCAGATTTTCCGCTCGTATATCGTCCATTTCCGTGATCAATCTTTGTATTTCATCTTTTTCTTTTTCCGCTAGCTGCCGTTTTATCTGGGCCAATTTTTTCTCCAATTCTTTTTCCATGGTTTTTTGTTCATT